AACGTTTGAGTTTTCATTTGAAAGGCGAACATTATGTTATTTTTGATGATGAAGATCCGATTGATGAGGTTATTAGAAAACCTACTGTAAATGAGAGTCAATTTTTAGCATGGATGGAAGCGAACAAGATATATCCTGAGGCGACAGAGCTTACTTATGTCGAGGCACCAACGAAGTTTGTTTGGAATAAAACGGATAGAGTGTGGACTCCTCGAATCAGAGAAGGCGCTATAGCCCGTCTGCACTATGTTCCTCCTAACGCGGGCGATAATTTCTATTTTAGATGCTTGGTTAATGTAATACGTGGAGCAACTTTCCACGAGGATTATATAAAGGTGGACAACGTTCACTATTCGTCGTATCGCGATGCTTACCACGCCCTAGGTTTGTTAGGTGACGATCGTGAGTACATTGATGGTATATCTGAGGCAAGTCATTGGGCATCTGCTGATTCTCTCCGACGTATGTTTGCAACGTTGTTGGTATCGAGATCGTTAGGTAGACCCGAGCACGTATGAGAAACGTGTTTGAAATTTCTCTCTGATGACATCATTTACTTGCTTAATTTTCATCTCATGTTTAACTATTATTTTCCATTTTTATAAAGTACTAACTTTGAATCCTTTTCGTTCTTAGGTCTGCAGGTTAGTGAGGCAGATATAAAGAATTTAGCTCTCGCTGAAATCGAACATTTGTTGAGACGTCGCGGCACGAGTCTTCGGGAATATCCAACAATGCCTTTTCCTGATATGACCAGTTTTACTACAAGTACAAATCGTCTGATTTTGGATGAGCTAAGTTATGACCGCAAGACCTTATCAGTCGAGCACAGTACTCTTCTTAGAGATATGACTGACGAACAGAAAGGAGTTTATTCAAAAATTATGGCAGCGGTCGATTCAGGTCAGGGAGGTGTTTTCTTTGTCTACGGTTATGGCGGAACCTGGAAGACATAATTGTGGAGGACTTTAGCTGCTGGATTACGATCAAAGGGTGAGATTGTGCTTTGTGTTGCCTCGAGTGGAATAGCTTCTCTTCTGTTGCTTGGAGGAAGAACTGCACACTCTCGCTTTGGCATACCTATTAATGTTCACGAATATTCGTCGTGTGATATCAACCAGGCTAGCCCTCTAGCAGAGCTAATTATACAGTCCTCCCTCATCATATGGGACGAAGCTCCAATGATGCATAAGCATTGCTTCGAAGCTGTCCAAACGTCATTTCAGGCGGTCATGGGAACGGTCAACCCGACCAACCATTATAAACCGTTTGGCGGCAAGACTGTCGTTTTTGGTGGAAATTTTCGACAGATTCTCCCGGTGATTCCAAAGGGGAACCGTCAACAGATTGTTAATGCTTCATTAAATGCTTCAACCATTTGGCAAGATTGTACAGTGCTTAGGCTAATGAAGAACATGCGTCTTCAGAGCCTTAATGATTCAGATGAACGTGAGGAGCTTTCTAATTTTGCTGATTGGATTGCTAGCATCGGTGATGGTACTATCGGAGGTTATAACGATGGTTGTGCCTCCATTGAAATACCAGATGATCTGTTAATAGCCCCATCTGATGATCCAATTGCTGCAATTGTTGAGAGCACATATCCAATGTTCAAGAATGCAACCAATGATCCAAGTTATCTGAAGGACAGAGCCATACTTGCACCTACATTAGAGATCGTTGAGTCTATCAACCAATACATGTCGTCGTTGAATCTATCAGAAGGTCGTGTCTATTTGAGCTCCGACAGTACGTGTAAATCCGATTTGAATTCCGACTTCCTGTCAGAAATCTACACTCCTGAGTTCTTAAATTCTCTCAAATGTTCTGG